TTTTTTGATTTTGAAAATTTTTAAGATTTTTTTAGAAAATTAATTGAATTTTTTAAACATATGTGCAAAATTTAAACTCAATACAACAAGAATTGAATTTTTTAAAAGAGAAAATGATAGCAATAAATTGTTGGAAGGACTAAATCAGAAAAAAATTTGAAATTTGTGAACTCAATTTTAAATGAGTAAAAATTCAAAAATAGTTTCGACCATTTAACCTTTTAAAATATACTTACATAATGAATTGAATTTTCAATTTATCCTATTCAAAACAACCAAAATATCTTAATTCCATTTAAAACAAAAGAAACATTCTCTCGAATTATATATATATAAAACAATTTGTTCTAAGATAAGAAAAATAAATATGGACAGTGGAATTTTATTGCATACTTATGTTAGAAAACATATCTGATATAAAATAAATAAACAATTCATGAATAATACGTATCGTTAAAAAAAGTCTATCTATCGTTAAGTTTAATTTTAGAATGAACCAAATCTCAACTATTTATCTTAAACAACATTGAACGCTGCACAAATTCCATCAATAATCCATCAAATTGTTCACAATTCTGGAAGATGTGGGCAGGACTCGGAGGCCTTTCAGAGGTTTTAAAAGCAAGAGAAGGAAGTAAATTGAAGATGAAGAAGATTGGATAATTGGATAACGGATTGGGGCTTATGGAGGTCATTTTCATCGATTTGGAACTTTTAGGAAACCGAGAGACCAGATTGTAGAGGAAGCCCATATGAGTTGACAAGGGATGGAACAGTTTTGACCTAAATACAATTGACATTGGACAATGTCAGCCTTCATTCATCTTATATTAGTTGCAATTAGGGGCTCCCATCTAGACACCAAAGCAAGCTTTTATTTGTTTTGAAGAAAAAGTTGAACACCAGAAAATTAACAATCATTTGGTGTGAAAATTGTCTTTTACAACTTTATTTTGATCTTCTAATAGACGTATTTGAAGAACACATGCAAATTTAAACAGAATCTTTTAACTATTACTAATAAATAATTTATATAAAGGTGCCATTATCAATGTTTGGAGTTAACTTGATGAAGTTGAAAAGACCCAATTTGCTTTGTTTGTTTTTAAATTATTCTTTTAATCAAATTTTACCATAGATTGGAAGGAAAGGCCATGTTCTAGCATAGAACTGAAGTGTACCACTACAACATTAGCCTGCGATAATGGAAGTGATGGATGGGAGGTAATCTTGGTTCAAGGTGGCTGGCTTTTCTATGATGTATTTTTCAGACATTCATCACATTTGTGCCTAAACGATCCAAAATGCATAACACCCTCAAGCGTGTCTTTTAAGGCAGTAAAATCATCATTGCGCAGCAAAATACAAATAATTGACTGAGCTCGGAATCATCATTGCTTCTGAAAATTTTGTCCACTAGAACATCATCAGAAAGTTCTCAGATATTTGCTGCAGAGCTCTTCAGGTACGAAAGCCATTATGTTTTCTTCTAACAATGCATTGAATGCTCTTAAGTTTGCGGCATCGCATGTTCAGCAAGTTCAAAAATTCAATAAAAAGTGACAAATATGCAAAAAAATGATCTGGGTATGAAAATGGTCATGAAACAATCTGCCACGAAACAAATATTGAAAATGGCAAGAAAATGAAGAGGCAGTAGTACTTGTACAGTTGAGGATCAATATAAATCAGTACAAGAACACTAGCACTATTGCAGAAGCAGAGAAGAAATTTAGACTATTGTGCTACTTTATACTGGCAAAATGAACTTACATCTCTTGCATCAAGTATTATCTTTTCGTCTTCGTTGTGCCCTTGTATGCCTCCAATAAACCTGGCACTTTATCCGCGTGCTTAGTAACATAATTATCCAAGAAACACTTCTCAGTATCTTCTTGCGGCCTTCAATTACCTTCTTAGACTCCAATCTTCAAAACATCATACCTAGGGCGAAGCCTTTTATCAGTTGAATACATAAGTAACCTAGGACAGGCAATTGTGGCCTTCTTTTACATCTTAACAGTATTCAACAAGAAATCCATCGTTCTCCTGATTTTCTCCTCTGAGGATGATAATCGACGCGGTATTGCTTAAACGCTGCTAAAATCTCCTCTTCAGTCCAGCCTACACTTTTCATCACCTCAATTATCTTCTTGCAAGTGAACTCACTCATGGATAACATCGATTGAAGAACTCACTCATGGATAACATCGATTGAAGACAATATATAAACATAGGAGCCTTTGGTTCAAGGCCCATATTCTCGACAGCATTCACTACATAAACCATCCTATCCCGCTTTTGATATATAATTCTTGGTTGAGATACAATCAGTTTTGCTACACTCTCTCCTATAGTCCCTCAATCCTCATGATTAGAAGGGTTCTGACCTCAAAACCTTTCATCAACTCATTTTTCTTCTCTAATAATGCCAATAGAAGCAGGGATCACATAAAAAGCCCCCATGCTCTCCCCTATGCTCCAACCCAAATTTTTTTATCAGCTCAATTTTCATCTTCCAAGTTGATTCATTCATATGTATCATATCAACATGCCAACATCATGTATAAACACAGAACCCTTTGGTTCAATGCCAAATTCTTAAAGAGCATTCGTTGCAAAAACCATCATATCATCCTATAAAACTCTCAGATCCTTCCAAAACCAATTTTGTTATTCTATCAAAAGGCAATCAAAATTCTAGTTGCATAATACCCTTTCAAATCAAAACAGCCACAAAGAATACTTAAAAAGAAGCCACAATTTTGCCATTGCTCCCAAAAATAGACTTTCAAAAAACTCAAAAGATGGATTAATTTGAGAATCCAAGGGCTTCTCAGAGTCAAAGTAATTAGTTTTTTTATCACGTTGATACTTTGCTACAAAATCTATAATGCATGTCCAGTGTATATGCTGTAGCAAACTGTTGATATTTTGTTTAATTGTTGTAGGAACAAATCTGCTGAATTATACATGAAGAAGATCATGTCAATGCAGGTCCCAAAAGTAGCTCTAGAGTTAATTCTAGATGACTATAATGTGGTACATTTCAAAAGTAAATTACTACTTTGCATCAAGTGACTATTCATTTTGCGTTGCTGGTCCCAATACACATCTCAAAAAACCATGAACATTGTCCGTACATTTAATAACATAATTCTTCAAAAATTTCTTCTCATGCAATTTTGGTGAATGGGTAAGTTTATTTTCTGTTTAACCAGCTCCTTTGACTCCAAAACCTTCATAAGTAGTGCAACAGATAAATCATTTTATCAATCTTAACAATGCAGTGATTGTTTTCTATGTTCCCACATATGCGTTATGAGTTGTAACAATAAGTGAAACTCCAGTCAAAAGCCAAAATCAAAATGATAGAGCTAGGGAAAATATCGTGAACAAGAAACCACCAAGAGATGACATTAAGAACCAAATGTACATATAGTACTCACACAATAAACTGAGGAATACAAATTGGAATATGAACAAACAAAACAGTCACTGAATGCAGTTTACACGACTCTTATGATAAGCATTACACAAGGGAACTTACTTCTCTTCCATGAAGTGACTATCGTTTCCTCTTGCTGGTAACATCACATATCTCCAATAAACCCGAATTGGTAGTTCTTCAAAAAAAATTTCTTGCTTATTGCATAAAAAAATTGAAATTTTCTTGGCCCATCAATCATTATTGCGTAACAAATTGAAATGTTCTTGTCCCATCAATCAGCTTCTTGGACTCCAAACAAACTGAAAACTAATTTCAGAAACATAAATTGATAGAAGCACTACACAGAAACTATTTGTGAACCAAGTTAGACTACTATAATGCTGTACATTGCAGAAGCAATACTTACTCTTTTGCCATCAAGTGTGTGTTCTTTTTTACTTGACAGTACCGCCATATATCTGCACTAAGTCTGGAACTTCGTCCGCGTACTTGGTAACATAATTCAGCAAGAATTTCTTATCACTGATTGCTAGCAGATTACCAATCTTCCGGTCTCCTTTAATTAGTTTCCTCGACTTCAAAACCTTGATAACATTATGCCTTGGACGAACCCTTTTATCAATTGAGAAATTAATTAAATAGGGATAGGTAATTAAAACTTGCCGTTCCAATTCCATAGTTTTCAAAAAGAAATCCATTGCGCCCCTGATTTTCTCCTCTGAACAAGCTAATAGCTGGGGGGATCGCTTAAAGGCACACAAAATCTCATCTTCACTCCAACCCAGACTTTTCATCACCTCAATTTTCTTCTTCCAGGTTGTTTCAGATATTTGAAGCAGAACACTAAGAGCATTTACAAACATAGTATCCTCTGGTTGAAGGCCCAAATTCTTAGTAGCAGTCACTGCACGAACCATCATATCCTGCTTTCGCAGCATAGCTCTTGGTTGCCACAGCATCAGTTTTGCTATTCTATCAACGGGCATTCCCTCTTTTATCAGAAAATCAATATTTAAACGCAGAGCACTACTTAAACCAAAGGACAACAACCATGAAGCTCGCTTCATAGCTGCTACAACTTTCTCATTACTGTCAAGAAAAGGCTTCAAAAACTCAAAACAAGGCTTAATATGAGAATCTAGAGACCTTCTTAAAATGTCCGGATTTGATACAATAAACTGGGGCAGAAGCTGACCTACAAAGCCATTTTTGATTAAGAAGTCAAACTTAGGCTTCAGAGTATCTTCTGTTTTGGAATGGAGGACAGCAGGCCACTTCTCGATCGTTTTAGCGATGTGGGCATCCTTAAAATCGTGAGATTTTAAGAACTGGATAACGGACTGGGGCTTATGGAGTTTATTTTCATCGATTTGGAACTTTTGGGAAACTGAGAGAGCGGATTGTAGAGGAAGCCCACATGAGTTGACGAGGAACTGAACAGTAAACGATGATGATGTAATAGATGTTTGCAAGAAACGTTTTTGAATCAGAGAAAGCAGAAGGTTTCTCCTCATGGGTATAAGATTGGTGCCCATTTCTCGTAAGCAAAATGTTTCCCCAAATTGCTCAGAGAGAAGGGGTAGAAGAGGCAATTGGCAAAGCAACGGCTAGACGTTCAGAGCGAGGGTTTTAATGGGCCCGTTGCCACTGGGCTTGATATATAATTTTTCAGGGAACCTCAATTTAGTCCTTATTGTATTAACTCTTATTTAAATATTTGTTGTTGTTTTTTTTTTTTTATCAATTTTGACCTAAATATAATTGGAATTGGACAAAGTAACCCTTTATTCATCTTATATTAGCTGCAATTAGGGGCTCCCATCTAGACGGCAAAGCAAGCTTTTATTTGTTTTGAAGAACAAGTTTAACACCAGATGTTAGTAATTTTCCCTTTTATACAATGAAAGAAAATTAACAATCGTTTGGTGTTGAAATTGTCTTTGACAACTTTATTTTGATATTTTAATAAACATATTTTACAAGCACATGCAAATTTAAACATGGTATTTTAAATATAACTAATAAATAATGAATATAAACCAAAAAATTATCGATCCAGCGATAAATCACCTATTCTTCAAGCGAATTTCTTACCACTAAATAATGAATAACAAAAGACATGATAATTATACAACGATATTTATGTGTAGAACTCCCCGTGAAAGCCTAAAGCTAAGGTCTTGGTACGGGTGGATCACTCGTTCACCTTTTTTCAAATCACTTCGAGTGAAGGTGGAAGAGAAAAGTCACAAGAAGAGTCACAAATGAATAATCAACAGTCGTGACCATGTCGACGCTCTGACCAGTTAAGCCATTCCTTTTGTGCTCGATCTGGCTTTAGGCAATCTGTCTTCCCGTTTCAAGATAGAAGCTACCTACTAATGGAAGCTGGGGCAGAGGTTACAAATGAACAATCACTGCTGCTCCCTAGCGAGAAGGCTTAACCTAGCTAGAAACCAACTACACTTTTATTATTTAAAAACCAACAATACAATAAAACCTGCCTTCCCAATTGTGAGAAGCACGACAACAAGCGTTGGTTATAAATTTGTCCAAAAAGACAACCTCAGCTCAAGAATGCTCAACCGCTCCATGACTTGGTCTAAGTACTTAGATCAACAGGCAATGCGATTAACAACTCTCAGAATAATGTGTTGCAGAACTCGGCTAAAATATGAATACGAAGTTAGTCCTATCCTCAAATCTTTCAAATAAAGGATGCCTTTTACGTTACTACGTAATGTAACAATTTAAACAATGAAAAATGTGACCAATGCCAAAAGATTGGTATAGAAATGAAAATGATAACGGGAAAACAAAACCACCAAGAGAGAACTTCACGAGTCAAAGGCCCAAAATGATATTAAAAAAAAAAAAAAACCGACCCGGAGTTCTCATCGTATCGAAAAATAATCGACCAAGATAGAAAGAAACACAAAAAGGCGAAATTGCCTCCGAAGGTAATTAGAACTGTTATAATGTTATGCATCTAAAAAGTAAACTTACTTCTTGTTTTGAACTCTTTTGTGTCGGTCTCAATTAAAAGAATTTTGAAACAAAAATATTATGAAACGGTTGAAAGGCGAGTCTAATTATTAGATTCTAAATTAGATAATTAAAGTTACTACTTATACTAAAATACAATAACCAAAGAACCCTTGGAAAAGGTTTCGGATTGTCAAGAAGGTCTAGATCGCAAAGTTGAAATGCGGATATATGATAAGCATAGTAATTGAAAACTAATATTAAACACCTTACAACCGTATTTCTATTCAAAATATAAAATAATTTATATTAACAACAACTACGTGAATTGCAAATTATAAGATTTAAGAGAAATTAAAATTGTTAAATATTAAATTAAATGTCTTTACAAACGACAATGACTACGAAAATATAAAGATTTATAGATATAGAAATTGATGAACGGATATCAAGTGGAACTCTAAACATCAAGAGATGAGATCTACTTGTACTGTAACGAAAGTGACAATCAAACTAGAGATGATCTATCGACCTAATATTATTATCTACTCGATTACAACCAACTTAATTACTATCTAAAAATTATATAGTTTACTATGTTTCAAGTGTTGAACCGATTTAAGATTTAAGAGATAATACTGATCATTTGCAAGAGTATTATCATTGTATTGTGTTGTTGTGTGTTATTGTTTCTTAGTTGCAACTGATATTAATAGTCTTTTCATTCTTTTACGTTTTTCTTCATTGGTCATGTTCTTAAACTACAATACTTTATATTTACCTTGAGCTACAATGCTCTTTATTTTTTTATATTCCCACACATTCATTGTAATATTCTCACGTCCCTCTTATTTATGGTTCTAGTTATTCAAATCAGATATCTTCTTGTTAGTTTTTTTTTTTTTTTTTTTTTTTTTTTTTTATGATTTAACTTCTCAAGTTCTTTGCTTATATTTCTATCTTTGAAACATAAAGCTCATTTGGGCCTCTTCTTTGGATAGACCTGCTCTTATGGACTTGGTCTTTTATGTGTGAATCCAAACGTCTTTTTAATTTGTTGTATGTTGATACAAGGGGATTTTAATTTTCACTCCAATTCTTGAATCAATTTCTATTGAAACTTTCTCCTTCAATTTTGGGGTTCTTGACCTTCTACATCCTTTGTGCTTTCGATAAGTTTCTATCCTTTTCTCTTTCCTCAATCTTTCACCGTCATTCTATTGCTATGGCTTGTGCTTCTAAATCCAAATCTCAATGGTCTTCTTCTCTCTTTTTAATTTGTGTCTGGTATCACCCTGCAACTAGACCATTATTTTAAATCCATTTCTCTCTATTGTCCTTCGTTAATTCAATTCACTCTGTTATTTTCCCTTAATATTGTTTGTAGGGACTTTGCTCCTAATCTCCTTGGTTCTAGAATTCAACGTCACTATTTAGGCATTTCTTTGTTTCAAGGCTATGGGTCGAAAAACGATGTTTAAATAGCGTGAAAACTCTGAGGATTTTTTATCCCTTATAAGAGAGCCATGCTCTTCTGCCTCCCTGAAACTGCTAGACAGGTAGAATGGAATAACTTCACAAGTTATACTAAATGCTCAACCAAGACATGGCTCAATGCCTATCCTGAAATTAATGCTTTCTATTGTGAGTTGCTGGGCTATTCCAACATCAAGAAGAAATGGCACATCATAAGGTTTTCTAAAGTGTTTGACTCAACCATGACTCACATTTCCAGCCCTAATCCTCCTCTTCTTGGTGTTGTCCTTAGCCTATGGGATAATGACAACAATTGTATCCACATAAAAAGGGGTCCTATGGGCTGAAAGATGTGATGTCTCTGGCTGACTATTCTTTGGTACGAGTGGACCTTTGTAATGTTATAGTGTTAACCGAGTTAGATGCTAGTTTTAAGAGTCAGTGATTAATTTAATATTAATATATTTTTTTCCTCGTATTTAAATTTTAATATTTTTAAAATATTATATTTTATTATAAAAATATTATTTTTAATTTCATATCAGATTATTATCAGATCCAATCAAAGTAGATTTGAATTTAATCTATTTAATAAATAAATTAATAAATTAAGATCATCCAAAAAAAATTATTTACTAAATCTATTTAATTACAAGAAATCTGCATCAACATCCAATCCATTTACAGGTATAACACTTGTAATGAGACTGTTTCAGCTATCCCAGCCTCCGTGGATAAAGGCCCATTTGGCATCTTTTCCCTTAATATATATATATATATATGTGTGTGTGTGTGTATATGTGTGTGTGTTTTATGATTCCAAATGTCATTTTTTTCTATCCTTATTGTTTTTTTTTTTTTAAATAAAAAAAATAAAAAACGAAAAAGGAAACCACACATAATGAGCCCTAGATATTTTAATCAAATTGATTAAAATGAAACAAAAGAGTGTGATTCGTACAAATCAGTCCCCAATTTTACAACATCTGTAGATATAATGACAGGTAGATTCGATACAAAGTGAATGTCAAACCCAAAACAACATCATGGAGGGCACCAAAGATTAAAACACTATCAAGGCCCACCAACTCCAAGTAGTCTTCTTGAAAGGTCAGCCCAGCGCGCACTGGTCCTTACCAAGCTTTTTAACCACCAGAGAAGCTTTTCAGGCTGGGATGCTTAGAACCTAAAGCAGAATCCAGTTGTTGATAGAAGTATCCAGTCAAAGTTCATCATCACCCACAAGGAGAGGAATAACACTAATGAAGCAGAGCCGCCTGAGACAGTAAACTTCATATTAGTAAGCATACTCCTTGCCTTGAACAATGGGAGGTCTCAAGCTTTTTTGCAGACCAGAAATGGTTTTCAGGCTGTTCTTGACCTTAATTATTATCAGAGCATGGGCTCAAGCAGAATCCATTTCTTTTGGCTTCAGCATTTGCAACCACAAGAGAGCTACAACCACTTTGATGGCAAAACACCCTCAGGAGTATCCGAAAGCATCCGGTCAGAAGCGAATCACCCATATGACAGAAGTAGAGCACCACTGGCAAAATAAACTTCAAATAAGTTGGTGTGACAAAAAAGGAAATTATGGAATAGAGAACATCCCCTATCAGAGTATGGGCTCTAGCAGAATCCATATCTTTTGGCTTCACCATTTGCAACCACAAGAGACCAACAACCACTTTGATGACAAAACACTCTCAGGAGTATCCGAAAGCATCCGGTCAGAAGTGAATCATCCATATGACGACAGAAGTAGAGCACCACTGGGAAAATAAAATTCAAATAAGTTGGTGTGACAAAAAAGGAACTTATGGAATAGAGAGCATCCCCTAAAAACTACTGCATCACTGGGCATGCAATTTGAATATCTACTGAAACTGTGTTTCAATATTTAAGTGAAGGGGAAAAATTTTAAGAGAGAGCACACCATGATGATTTGCTGAGAGGGAGAGGAATAGAGCATTTGAATCAGACAAAAAGAATGGATTTCCCCTTTTGAAAACCAGTGTATGAAGAAAAGCATGCCAGTTCTAATAAACATTGTAATAAAGTTTGCTGCTAAAATAACATTTAAAAGTTACTAAAACAAACCAATCACACAAGGGAAACCACCCTGGTATTGCACTGAGTGGTATGTGTAACTCTACAGATCATTATGCACTGTGCTTATGTGGCTCTTCAAAAATACTGCAGTGGAGCTCCTCTTCCACCATCATTTGCCAAATGACATAAATTCAGCTCCTTAGCAAACATGGAAGCTTTGGCAATTGAGACACTACACATCAATGAATATACTTGTTAACAAATATGCATGTAACCAGCGTACATGTAGACTTATTACATTTAAAATTTGCCTCTTCACCATAGATATGGCTACTTAGAATGCATTTGGTTGTATCCTTATACTTATGCCCTTGATAAAAACAAATGCAGCATTTGATCCCAACTGAAAATCAGACCCCAGTTGAATGTAGCATCTTTGCCCTCCTATATATTTTTGCTTTTCGATTATGCAACTCACAAAATCAAGGGTGGTTATTGAGTATTATCTGTCATCCAATGGTGAGCAAAACACCAATGGAGGGAGCCAACCTGCCGTTTACAAGAGAACTTCCAAATTCTTATAATTCCCCACAAGAAAGGAATACAATTCTTAAGATGATTACAAGCTCCCCCACATCAAGCTCACAAAATAGTAGTGAACCAAAGTGCAATTTAAAACCCATGAATTTATTCATGCCAAGAGTATAAACTCTGCCTCTCCCAAGCAGATTCGATGTGAGACCACCTTCCTGAGTTTGTCAACACCCTAGCCGGTAATGAAACTAATTGGCCTTAAACTCTTTCATATCTGCCATCCCCTTATATTTCCGAATCGAGAGAAAATTCAAAAGCCCACATTTCAGGGTTAGAGCAAAAAGTTTTGGGCAAGCTTTTGTCATTTTCCCTCTCCATCATATTAGTTATCTCATTT